CCCTCTCACCTCCCCTCTCTCACCCCCATACACAGGATAATCTGCACCTCGGAGGCTACGACGATTAAAACTTTTTCACTAAAACTATTCAACCTTGTATATACAAAGGTGAACTTAAACTCGGGGCTTTAGAATATAGCCTGGAGTTGAGTTAGTTTGCATTAAATTAGATTATTTCGGCAACGCTTTTCTTGTCCAACCATCAAATTTCCCGACAAAAAAAAAAAAAAGAGGAAAATATTCAACATCGTCTACCAGGTCTGGCGTCGTGAAAAAAGTTATAGCGGTCGTATTCTAGCATGTCGGCTCCTCCCTGGTGGTGGTGGTGGAAAAAAAAAACCAGAAAAAAAAACCGAGAGTTCAAGTTCACTTTTCATCCACACCAATTTTGAGCTGAGTCTACCTCTTACGTGTGCAAGTTATTGGTCTACTACTTTCAAGAGAAGAGCGGAGAGAGTCACAATAAACGAAACTTTAATATCATGTATTTGGTATGTGTGTGTATGTAACGAGTGTCTGGGGCTGTTACAACGTGTGTGTGTGTGTGAATATTCTATGTGACTATATGTATTCCTGCCCGGGTCTTGTTATGTGCTTGCTAGGTCCTGTAGCCACACATTAGCTCCCACAAAATACATTCACCGTAAAAACAAAAAAACAAATTACCTACACCAGCCACTACGTCTTGTCCTAATAACCATAATATCATCTTGTGGTTGTTGTTGTTTCCTTCTTCATCATCCTTCCAATTTTCTCTTATTTACATTATCGTATGAGTTTGTTGTTATATATCACATTATTACTCCGAGTGTTGCATGGTAAATTGTATATGATATCACCTACTTAATCTTATTCACGTACAATCACTGAAAAAAACTATCAATACAAAATTGTGTTGAAAAAATATGACACAACGAACTAAGGATTTTGACAACCCTACAAAGACAACGGGAGTCACAGTGTTCATTCTGAAATTCATCGATCACCTCAAGTAGAGATAGTTTTTTGAGTACACGGTATACTGCATGAGAGCAGAAAGTGTTTATATACCATTATTTATATAGAAAAATTAGTCCAATAATATATTAATTAAGATATACACATGATAGGTATTATCTACATGATTAGTTTAGTCTTGTTTAATCTATATACGTATTAACACCTCCTGGTGATCAAGTGATATTGTGACGAGTCTAAGAACCTATCAGTCCAGTACATCAGGTAATGAGTGACAGCATATTTTACCGCATTTGTCTTAATTTCTATCGAGTTATAGGAATAAACCAAAAGAATATATATCAAAACTTAATTAAATATGTGTTCACAGAGTCTACTCAAGCTGATAAGAAAATTCATAAAATATATTCCCGGTGAAATATCTCCCGCAGAGTCAAGGAGGAAGATGTATGTGGTGGGGATGTGGGAACACGGTGGACGAGGGCGATAGAGAGGAAGAAGAACGTCGCTGAATGAAAACAGGAACACTGGTGCTTTTTCATTAGATTTAGCAACTGGCGGGCTGATGAAACCTACCACGAGAGGGACGTAGTTAGTGTAAAAAGAAACAATTGTTATTATTTTTTTGAAGGCTCTCACTCTTTCCTTATCATATATCCTAACTCAAGATATGTGTTACTTTTGCACGCTACGAACGTATTTGATAGTATTAGGCACAAGAACAATAATCATATTAAGAGTTACTCGCTACACACTGTTTTATTTCCATATGTATGTCAGTAATGTTATCTATATACTAGAAGGTATGTGTTGTAGACGAGTATGCGGCATATGTTCCAGAACACATTTTAATTTAATTTCGTAAACGATGAATTCTCTTCCAGTTGATGTGATAATGAGAGAATCCCCACATTTTTACTTAATAGTTTCAATCAGTCGGGTTTTAAAATCTATTTTTTTTTAATTCATTGATGTCCTGTCCATCTCATTCATTAAACTTTTTGACACAAATTGTATTATATATTTTTTTCTTCAAATCCACTGATATTCAATTTATCTCATCCAGCACTTTTTTAACATAAATTTAAACAGACTTTGTATGAATTATTAATAAGTTTTCTCTCTGATGATGTATTATATGTTTGAGGTACTGTACATAATCTGCTAAAGACCTCTAGTACCCATTAACTCAAGGGTAATTATCAGGTCTTATAAAAAATCCAACTGTCATAGACCAGGTCCTTGGTAAGGCTATTAAATAATACGAATAAATATGAAGAGATTCCAAAAGAAAAAATATCGATTTCATTAAACAAAAATAACCTATTTATTTGCGTGAAGAATTTATTTATTTCAGAATGTCAATACAGGCAATGTTCAATATGCTGATTAAAGACCCGACCACAGAAATATGCATTTGCGTAATTAGACTTGATAATGAAGCTTTAATTAATTCACACTAATTGAAGGGTCATTAGCAGGTGGTGTTTTCCGATATTTAACCTTTTGAGTCCAGGTCCTTCATTAATATACTAAAAAGAACACGTGTTGTTGCTTTATGGGGGTGAAAAAACGAGCCTCTCTACATTATCAAGTGTCTGGACCTTAAAAATGAATCAAATTCTTAGGTCAAATGTCAGTTCTGGTCCTTGTCAACAACATAACATCTACAAACTATTGTCATTTACGGTCCTGGACACACACACACACACACACACACACACACACACACACACTCAGCACACACACACAGGCGGTTGATGTGGTGAAGTAAATTGGATATATGCGAAAACATATTTGAAAAAGGAAAGAACCAAAGTGCAGAAAAACAGAAAAGAGGCAAATTCCAGTAAACTGTTGAGAGAGAGAGAGAGAGAGAGAGAGAGAGAGAGAGAGAGAGAGAGAGAGAGAGAGAGAGAGAGAGAGAGAGAGAGAGAGAGAGAGAGAGAGAGAGAGAGAGAGAGAGCGAGAGCTGAGAGAGAGAGAGAGAGAGAGAGAGAGAGAGAGAGAGAGAGAGAGAGAGAGAGAGAGAGAGAGAGATGAAATAAAAAAAAACCGAGATGTCAGTAATACCAAAACTTAAAAAAAAAGAAAACATAAGAGAAAATATTGCACTAAAACGAGGAGAAAGAAAGTTAAAATAAGAATAAAATATACAATAATTCTGAACAATAGACACACCAGCACTCACTATCATGTTTCCTCCACAAAAAATAACATATTTTCTTTCTGTTACTCCAAGATCACTCAGTTTTAATGGCTGTGTGCTCTGTTTGCACCTTGTCTAGAGGGAGAGGGAGGGGGGGAAGGGAAGGGGGATGAGGAAGGAGGGAGGACGAAGGGGAAAGGAGGAAGGGGAGGGGGGTGAGAAAGGGAGGGAGGATGAAGGGGAAAGAGGAAGGAGGAGGGAGGAAGGAGAGAGGAGGAGGAGGAGGGGGGGTGAGTGGGTGGGTAAGAGGAAGGAGGAGCAGGTGAATGGCCCGACACACCATTTCGCAGAGATGATCGGTCGCGGTTGCCAGGATAATGTCCCCCTGTACTAGTGATGGTGCTCGGGTCTGGCCAATTCTTAGTTTCCCCTTCAGTAGTGCAGACAACAGTATAATCTAAAAACCTTCCCTCTCTCTTCCCTACTTACCTCTCTCTACCTTCCCTACTTACCTACCTACCTCCCTCCCTCTTCTCTACTTACCTACGTCCCCATAACTCCTTTGCTACAACTTGTTCTGAATAAAAAAAAAAATCTTGTTTCCTTGCACTTATTCACATCTTGATCCTCCACAATGAATTCTGATCCAAAGATACACAGCAATGTTCTCTCTCGTGCATAAGACACACTAACACACTGACACTACACCATGAACATACTCTCGGTAGACACACAGTTAGCATCTCTTATTACCTTGGGATTTTTTTTTCTGGTACATTTAAACGTGCAAACACCCAGACTACATACAATATTCCTCCCAGCATTAGCATAACCGTTGGTAAAAGTATATGTAACAAACACTACCACACCGAATACACACATATTTTATACATACACAGACTTGCATACATATAGATATACACACAAATACATACTCAGAAGAAAAAATCACACACACACACACACACACACACACACGCCTGTATATCGTTATACAGGCGTGGCCTCCCACAACCAAACATAGTCAAGCCCTTGTCTCCTCACCTCACCTCACCCTCTCCCTCCTCCCCCTCCTTACCTCCACATCGTCTACCTTCGTGACCCCTAAATAAACTCGCGTCCCATTTACTTAAGCGTCTTCAAGAAAAATTACTTTTCGCTGGACGATAAAAACTTTTAAGAGCGTAAACGATGGGGAAGTTCCTCAAGACTTAAAGTTCGGTAACTCTTACTTGACGTTGGGTTCTCTTTGGGGGTGTGTGAGGGCTTCCTCGGGACTCACTGCATTAATGTTTGAGTGTTGCTCACCCCTTTTAGCGGAACAGCGCGGCCTCTGGCTGATTATGGCTTCACTCAGCATGTAAGAGTGCGCTCTGAAAAGTTGAGCTCCTCGAATGGAATAGAAATGCCCGTATTAACATCAAGTTGATTTAGGACTTAAAAATTTGCTCTCTCTCGAATGCTGGGTTGTTCATATGGCTGCCACCGTGTGGACAACAACCTTACATGAGCGTAAATCCCACAGGGAGATGTTGAGGTGCTCTTGAGGATGATGGAGTATCAATGAAGAGGTCATGGTACTCTTATGGTACTGCTGAAGAGGCGGGACTGCAATTTGAAGATGAAGGAACTGCCATTTTGGACCGACGGGGCTACCACTAGATAAGCTATGATGGTGGCTAATTACCACGTGATGCACCATGGTGTCATCTAGGAGATTGAGGTACAGTCTCACCCAAAAGATCGTTAACTCTCCCAGCAAACTATTGTTGCATTGCCTGCTTCAGATGTTTGAAACGGTCTCAGGACCAACCAGAACATGAAACCGATAAGAATGAATTTAAAGGTTCGAAGTAACAGACTCAAGTTCATACATCTGAAGCAGGCAGTGCACCAATAGCTGGCCGGGAGAGTTCACGAAATTTTGGGTGAGACTGGACCATCGTCAACGTCTTGGTCTTTTCAGATTCATGAAGTACCATTATGGGTATCAATTAACGTTATCATATAGATTTATATTTTGTTTACCCTTTAAAGCCAAAAGTCTGTTGACACCGTGGAGAAGGTTACGCCTCATAGTAAATACTTTAATAAATTATTTTAAATGTCACTGAAACCTTTTAAATGGAGAGCCACAGGTTCTCCGCTCGACGCCGTTCCGCTGAGCTTCAAAGACACACTCACTTTCCCAAGAGTTTTTCATAAGGTAATAAGTTTGTTGATACTTACCCTCAGGGACGGTGAGGCTGACATTATCTGGTGGTCACTGAATAACTGTGTTGCTGTTTCAATCATCTTGAAAATTTTATTATTGTAATTTTAGAAACACACACACACACACACACACACACCTACCTCTGCCTCGATAACTTCTACAATATCTTCCCTTTATATACAGTACGTGTGCCACGATGAAGAATAAATATATCTCTTCTTCCTTCCTTCTAACTCTCTCTTACCCTTAATTCACCCTTGTTCCTGGTGAGCAAATTCCTAAAAGGTGAGAAAAGAAACAGACAATTAACTGCTCCGTGCTTCCCCGCCTAATGATGCTCTTGAATTTGTTGAAAGTGAAATTCTTGTGACTTTATATTTTGCAATACTTTCAACCATTATGAACTTCTCAAAAATAATAAAATGATGTGCATTATTCACAGGTATAAACCATTGGTGCAAAAGGCCAAAGCAGTCTATTGAGTAATTTTTAATATATACTTCTTAACTGATATAGATTTTAATGGTAGGAGTCACACACGGACAACTCCTTGTACTTCCGTTCTGATCAAATAGATGTTTATAATGGAAGTTTGGAATGTAGTGACTAGATGCAGCCAATTTACTACTCTCTCGAGGTGACGATTTATATTTATAGTTCAGGAGGTTAGTGAGTTTGTCTGCTTTAGTGACCTTCATATTTACACCATTACAGCACTACAGCAAGACTGCAGCTGTGAGAAAGTATATGGGTGGGCTAACACTGGAAGCTGTCTTGTCGCGTATCAGTTAAGACCATTCCCATGTCGCCTGTTAAAACCTAACCAGTGAACTTCAACGAGTGAATATCTCATTGACTTCTCAGTATTTTATGAACAATTATATGTCATTAGGATAACTTTACTCAGAACATAGAATTATAGATGGACACATTTAATATTCTAAAAAAAATAGAAAGAATCATCACGTGGATCGCAGCAACATAAATTATAAGAATTCAGTTCCAGATTATGAACTATTTTCTTGGATGGAAATATTTCATCTGATGAATGGAAGTCCCGGCGACGCATATTTCCCTATGTCTTTGGATTCCCATAAAAGATAAATTTTATAATAAATGGTTTGATATACTGCAGCCTTCTGGTGGGACTGAATGAGAAATATCCAATTCTGTGAGAGAGAAAATATCGGTGAGAACAGCGAGAGAATAACACCTGTTCACGAGTTGGCCATTGTAGTCTTGCATAGCATGAATCAATTCTCATAAATTATTTGCACGAGTGACACAGTGACTCTTTTCTGATTGGTTAACGCACGACTAGTCAGGCTAGATAACCAGTCAGACGGCGCTTCAAACTTACAACACAACAATGGGAAAAAAAGGAAGCACGTGTGTTGTGTATTGACTCCCTGGGTGCTAAACACTGTGAGACAAGGGGTGTTGTTAAGGATCACAGGTCAAGGGTGGAGGTGTAGGGGTGACGAGGAAAAGCTAGGAAATTTAACGCTGTACTCTTCTTATCCTGGTGTTATCTTCCTCAGAACAGCGTCACCACACAGACAGTTCCTCACTAAAAAAAAAGTATCACTGCTTGCGTCTTATGAGATCGTAAATTCACCTTTGTCGATACTTTCTGTCTTGGTGAATTGTTGCTTAATATGCATGAAATAAAAGATCATGGACCACAATTTATCGTTTGCAATTTCATTTGGTTTCACATACATTACCAGGTTAAATATATCTCAAAATTTATGACGTGAGTTATTCTTTTGTGCCTATAGTGGACGAGTGGGAGTGGTGAGAGCACCGGCGGAGGTCTGGGTTGTTAGAGCCATGAGATAAGACCATTATTAACTTGTTCTTCAATATTGCACTTGAACTCAACACGCCCCCACCAGGAAGCTCTTCGATTACACACCTTGATCTTACGCTTCTATCTGCAACACCACAAAAAAACAGCAGACAACGAGGAAAACCAATCAAATTTAAGGATTGTATTTTCAATTATAAGTATAAGACGTCACTGGAGAAGTTACTCACTACTTAGATAAAGTTATTGTCAAGTAAAACAAGTGACTCATACGACGAAAAAGATTACCAATCGCACTGCCAACATCAACAACAACAAAACCGTTGACAAAAAGCTTCACACAAATAAATATAACCATCTAACTGTCATCCTAACCTGTCAGGCTGTTTTTATACCCATACGTATTTGACTTTTTCATTTTTAAGAAGAATGCCATGAGCTACAACCAATGAATCACCCACACATGCTTCGTGCCTCGACAAAAAAAAAGACAAAGATAAAAGCAGGGGAATAGTCGCTAGTAGATAAAACGGACTATCGTGGTATGGTAGTTCCTGCTAACATTGACGTTGCATTGAAAAGAAAGAGGATATGATATGTGTAAACAATATTCCATTTCAGAGCAGCTGAATAGAAGAAAGGATTTGAGAATCTTCTTGCTCGTCTCTTGGAAGATTTGCATGGTGAGTTACCGTACTGGAAAAGCGTGTTTAGTATAGTAATGTGGTCTGTTATGAGGTTGGGTGTACAGGATATTTGTAATGAGGACCATTGGACTAATTAAAGGAGTGTGATGGATATGTGTGTGTGTGTGTGTGTGTGTGTGTGTGTGTGTGTGTGTGTGTGTGTGTGTGTGTGTGTGTGTGTTATGTGTGTGTGTCTGTGTGTGTGTGTGTGTGTCTGTGTGTGTGCGTGTGTGTGTTAGTTAGAACTGCTGTGTTACTATACTCAAATTCAGAGACAACAAACTAAAGACATACTTATACGAAAAACACCTAAACTCAATATAAAATACCCCAATCTATCAACCTCCTAACAGACAGACAGACAGACAGACAGACAGAACAGACTCTAACCCCTGCTTGTGTGAAGGCCGCAGCGCTCGTACCATCAAAGAGACCATCAGGACACACACACACACACAGAAAAAAAAGAACTCGCCTCTTGAATTCACTATGACGCTCCTGGAACCACAGTTGTAGATATTCTCTTTTCTGCGGTCATGAATGCGAAGTGGCGCGGGGACTGCTCTGACCTCCCCTCCAATTCCACCTACTGAAACCTCATTCACCGTCGGCTCCTCCTGCAGTTGTTGTTCAGCTTCCTCAACCAACCGATAAGATGGCGATGAATAAAACCCATCTCCCAGAAACTGTTCGTGTGTGTGTTGGAGGTTGTGTGGCGTACTTACAAGACATGCACGCTTATGATCAGTGCAATAGAAGCAATATGGCTGAGAGACGATGAATATCAGAGGGTACATACTGTATAAAGGTGTTGTAACATGTCGTGAATTCTTATGTATCGTCGTATTACAGATGTATATATGTGTATTTACTGTATTGTTGCTGTTAAGTCAGTCAATGTGTTTCTTAAATCAACATTGTTGACAAGGTTTAATGAAATGATTGTTCGTGGATATGTGTGTGTGTGTGTGTGTGTGTGTGTGTGTGTGTGTGTGTGTGTGTGTGTGTGTGTGTTTTATATCACTCCCTGTAATCAGTTGAATACACTTTTATATTAGTCCCTTACAGTCGAGCGTTCTAGCTTATACGGTGACATTAATAAGCGATCGGTGTGAGATATTGCCTCAGGACGCATATAACTGTGTATGAAAAGTGGCCTTGTAATTTAACATGAATATATATATATATATATATATATATATATATATATATATATATATATATATATATATATATATATATATATATAAAAAAAAAACAAACATGGATGGATTACACACAGTCATTCTCTCTCTCTCTCTCTCTGGTGTGGGACTTGGCAGATTAAGTCTCCGATCTCTCCGAGTATAATAGGATTGGTAGGATTAGGAGCTAGATTGGAAGATCCTGTCAAGGAAGGATGTTGTATCACACTGAGGCGGTGAATGTGGCCTCCAAGAACCCATCAAGCAGGGTGTTAGCTGCAAGTCTCTTCACACTTTAAGGTTAAGCCACCACTCTTATGGTAGCCTCGCTACCTGAGGTTTACTTTCCCTATACCTTATATAAATTATTTTCCTGCTTGTATATAGTGAGGAACCGAATGTATGATACTCTCGGTGCTTAGGTAGATCAAGAGATGACTAGAGAGACATAAGGATGCTTGGATTTGAGGATGATTTTTCTTTAAGGAATAACAATGTGCACATGGTATTAATAGATCGAAAAGTATTTTAAACTAAAGGAAACAAATGAAAGACGTATAAAGAACATCTGACTGGAAGCAAGTCGTCTTACCCCTCTACACACTCGCATTCTGGTCCAAGGTGTAACTTTTGACTAGTTTATGTGCCCGACCTTGATCTTGACTTATATACTAAAGATACTTCCCGGAATGATCTCTGGATAAAGAATATTTCGGTGCATCAGATGAAATAAAAGCAGTTACTCAGGTCATAAAATCACTTGTATCAGAAAATCAGGACATATCTTAGATCAATAAGTTAATCAATAAGAACCAATAAGTTACACACCTCATGTACTTCAAAATAAATCCATCAGACCACAGGTATACATGTTTTCAGTTTTTATTTAATGTATACTAAATGATTATCCTAGATTTATTATGTATATATATAAATACACTTACTAAGGTCAAAGAGGTCAAATATCCCGTGTAAGAAGGTCAAGTCATTATGGTGAGAGGCGGCAGTTTCATAACTCACGGTGCAGTTCACTCGGTAATAAGCCGCTGGCTCCTAGTTTAATATCACCAAATTAGAGTTTCAAGGA